ACACTTCTGTGCCAGGAGATGGATGTGTGCTCAGCAAGAGCAGGGAGTGGATGTGTGCTCAGGAAGAGCTTTTTAGAGAGATTTGGTATCTCTTTAGCTTTCCCCTTGCTTCATGCTGAGTCCCATCACTGTAGCAGCATTGCTAGTGCTCAGGTCACAGCTCCATATGGCACTGCCAACAGCCAGTCAGGAAGGTGCCTCCAGCTCTGTGCTGCCTTGTGCCGACCCGTGTTCTGCAGCACCTGGGGCTTTTGACACTTGTATTTACGACGACTCGTGTTGGAAGTGCTGGGCACCCTTTGTGAGAACTGCCATCCCTGCAGGATGCCCACGTCTTTAAGCTCCTTGGCTGTATAATGCTTCCTCTGGCATCCGCTTGTCTTGGTTTCTTGCAGATTTGCTAAATTCCTGCAATAAGATGGAAGAAGTGCTCCAGAGCCAGCTTGTCCTTTCGTTGTCTTGCCTACAGTGTTATGTTGGATTCCCTAGAAAATACGTGCTGTTTGCCTGCTGCATCTGGTTTCTGCCTCCTCCAGAAGCCCCACTGTGGCTTTCTGGCTCTGTCAGAAACTTGGCAAAGGTTAGAGAAGTTGGAGTGCTCTGGAATTGCCCAGGGAAAATCTGCGGTTGTGAATAGGCAAAAACAAACAAAAAACCCAAAACCCAAATCAACAACAGCTATCCCTTATCTCCTCTTCTTTCCTGTCTCCAACAACTTAGCCCATTCCCGAGGAGCAGTGAGCAGAACAACCAACTTTTGCACCACAGGGGAGTCCCTGAGGCTGAAATTAGCACCAGACTCTGCTCCTACCGCACCACGTCATTGGCACAGAGACTGTTGGGTGAGGACCCTAAACCACAAAAACCCTCTTGGGATGATCGTGTGTGGCCGGGTCCCAGCTCTGTCCCGTGGCAGCAGGTTGGGAGCGTTGGGCAGCCTGTTCTGGGGCAGGTACAGCCTGCTAGTGACAGGAGGCTGAATTGCAGGTGACGCAGTGATTGTCCTGCAAAAGGCAGAGATGGGTTGGGATGAGGGACTCTGTATTTGGCTGTCTGTGGAAATTCAGGCCACGCATTTGCTACCTGCATCAACCTGCCGCTGCTCGGGACTGAGGCCCTGCACATCTGGGAGCAGGGGAGCGTGCACAGAACAGCACATCTGGGCAGAGCAGCATTGGGAGGTTCACATGGTTATTGACAGGGATGGTCCATCTTCTTTGGGACAGGTCTTCTTAGGCTGTTGCATCCTCCTTGCTTGATTTGGAGCAGAAGCAGCATTTTAACAAGATCCCAGAATTGGTGTCCGCCTTTGTCTCTGCAGCCCCGTTCCCTGCAGGCTACCGTGGATATTGAAGGGGGACGATGCCCTTCCCAAGCTGGAGATCCCATCAGTCATGTCCCAGGGCCGAGCTAGGAAAGATGAGCGCGGGGAGAAGGTGCAACATTGATGGTAGCAACGCCTGGTGCTGACACCAGTCCGGAGGGACATCCTCAGGCCTCTGGCCATTGAACCTTGGGATTGAGCACGAGCCTCTGGCTCCTACTTGTTAGGAAGGGTCGTTGTCAGATTTTGCCTCGGAGGCTCTCGCAAGTGCCTCCGTCCTGGGTGTAAAGCTCGAGCTGCAGCTTGAGCCTCCCCAAGAGAGGCTGCTTGTCAGTTCCTGAGCAATAAATCACTTTGTGACAGCCCAAATTGCACACTCAGCCTCCCAGAGCCTCTGCCTGCGCGTGGCTCTGCGATCATGAGTGCCTGTAACCTGCCTGCTCCCCCGGCTCAGTCCTGGCTGGCAGTGTCCTCCCCACTTGTGGTTTATTTTCTCTTTGTCACCAGCTCGAAGGCCTCTTAATTCATATGGATCCCTTTAGCTTCCAAAGGAAATTGCTACTAGGTTAAAATGGTACCAAGTTTCATATGTGTTCTTAATCTAAATGTTCCACCATTCTGAAAAATAAGTTTTGTGGTAACCTGGACCATGCATTTTTTTTTTATTTAGGCATATTATAATTCTTCCTACTCATATTCAGCTTTAGCTTCCTGACATCCACAATTGGAGGCTTTATGCTTGGATAGCCAAAAATTCCATCCCTGTGCTCCCCTCCAGGTGTGTGCTGATGGCCAGGGCTTTGGGGACAGGTGACATGTCATTCCCAGGGTTTGGCAGTGCCTGGATCAAGCCCCTGGGCCATCCCAGCTCTCCACAAAGCCACTTGAAAGCGAGTCCTGCTAGCGAAGACTCAGCAAGCACAGAACAGAGAGGAAAGGGTGTGGAAGCTAGATGCACTTTAAGTTGCAGTGTTTTTTCTCATACTGTCTGAGGAAGAATTTGGACTCGGACTTAATATTTCATTAAAAGTGTTGCTTGACAGCAACTTGGCAAAGCTGTATCTGCAAGCTGAAGCTGCCCATGGCAAGCTCTGTGTGTATTATTTATTTATTTTTTAAAAAAATCTTTTTTTTTTTTTTTTTTTTTTTTTTTGGAAAAAAAATTTTTGGTACCCATGTTTTTTTTTTCCC